GGTATTACTTTAATAAGGTTTTTGGGACGTTTTCACGGATTCGTTTTTGGGATTCCAATTGTGGGTCCGACGTTGTTACAGATGGTCAGCTCCTTGTAGCCTGATATAGCAGACTTGAGTCTGATAGTCTGAGCCTTAGCTAGGCAGTAACTCAGCTTATGATCTTGTATCCATAATGTCATGCTTTTCAATCGGCTATAGATTCCCGGTTAGAGTCTGTGGTCCAGCTTACCTGTGATCTGATTTTAGCTACAGTACCCAGTTCGAGTCTGTGGTCCAGCCCAACCATGCCCGACCTTGGGCTACAGTACCCGGTTTGAGTTCGTGGTCCAGCCTATATAGGTTGACTCATTAGCTATAGTACCCGGTTCGAGTCTGTGGTCCAGCTTGCACGTGTTGCATTCCCAATTCCTTATTGAAGCTTCAGTTTAGTCTTGACTACTCTGATCTGTAGGTTGACGTTTTGGAGGTTGGATATGTTCCGATTAAAGTCCGGGACATAACGATAACTTGGAATATAATTGGGAATGGTTTAGTTAAAGTCCAGAAATCGGTAATATTGTGATAGACCTTCTAGCTCCATTCTTTTACTTCAACTGCCAGTGCATCTTCCGGGCTTATAGGGGTTCGTGCAGGTGGTTTCTTTTATTGTGCACGAGCGTACCCGTCGAGTTTATGCGAGCCCGACGGAGTTAGTTAGATTCCTTGTCTTTGTTGCCCGTACACTCGTGTACATACCCACATTTACTACTCTTTTGCCCTTGATTGTGACCCTTTATTCGCATTTCAGTTCACTTTTACTTATCTTGCTCAGTCGGCCTGATGCCTACTGGGTACCTATTGTTTTGGTACTCATACTACACTCTGCATCTATTTTCGTGAAGCAGGTCCGAATACTAGCTACCGACGTTGATTCGAGCTAGCTGCTGTCATGATCGGAGGCACGGGTGAGCACACAACGTCCTGGATTTGCCCGTCTCCCTCTGTACTTACTTTTAATTGTCTTTTGCCTTTTTAGACAACTTGTTTCTGTAGTCCACTTTTAGGACTTGTACTTTTGTTAGCAGCTCTGTACTTGTGACTTCAAGGTTTTGGGAGGAATTCATTTTGTGTATATATGTCTAGTCGCTTCCGCCCGTTCATTGCGTGTTCTTGTTATATTTATTACTATTTTAAGTTGCTTGGTTGGTTTTATATGCTAACATCCCATTACTTCAAGTTCCGGGATATGGGTCGGCTTGCCTACTGGTGGGTCATATAGTAGGTGTCATCATGACCTGAGAAATTGGGTCTTGACAAATTGGTATCAGAGCCCCAGGTTCGTCGGTCTCACTTGTACAGAGCTAACGTCTAGTAGAGTCCTGCAGATCGTTATGGACACGTCCGTTACATATCTTCGGGAGGCTACAAGATGTATTTAGGAACGAGTCGCTTTTGTATCACTGTCGTGCATTGTGTGTCTTATCGATTTCTGAAAATCTTACTTGTTCCACTCTTTTACAGGGATGGTTCGCACGCGTGGTAGGGCCCCAGCTAAGGGTAGAAGCCGACCTCAAGGGCGTGCCAGAGCCACAGCACCAGCCCAGGACCGAGAGAAAACTCCAGAGTCGATGATAAAGCTACCATCAGCTCCAGCACAGCAGCAACCGATAGGCCTGGGACCAGCCCAGCTACAGCCCGAGCCTGTGGCAGCTCCAGGTATATAGGCGATGCTCATACAGATACTAGCTGCCATTTGGGGTATGCAGCAGGCCACATCTCCAGCCGCTCCAGTACCGCAGGGCCAGCCTGCACAAGCGGCACCGGTTGTTCAGCAGCTAGCGGCACCAGTTGTTCAGCCTGACAATTTGGAGGGCGTCATGCCACTTCGGGAATAGAAGATGCTCGGGGTGTTCCTTAGACTATCACCGCTGAGGTTTTCTGGGACTGTGGGTGAGGATGCCCACGAGTTTATACTTACTTGCCGCGAGTGGCTACAGACTTTGGGTTTAGTGGAGTGGAGATGAGCAGACTTCACCGCTTACCAACTAGACGGTCCCACTAGGCAGTGGTGGCGTACATATTTAGAGACCATGCCAGCTGGGTCTCTACCGGTTAGAAAAGGCTCCATGACAGTATCAGAGTATGAGGCCCGATTCCACGAGCTCTCTAGGCATGCCTCCATGATATTACCTACTGAGGAGTAGAGGGTTCATGTTTTTGTTCGGGGTTTGAGACTACAATTGCGGATTGAGACTCAGTCTTTGGTCTCAGCGGGCCGCTCATTTCTGGATGTAGTGGACCATGTCCGCACTATTGAGCAGCTCCGTTGCGAGGCCCAAGGGGGCAGCGGCAAGAGAGCTAGACAGGAGGATAGCCATGATAAGCGTCATTTCAGACCCCGAGAGTCTTATGATAGATCTCAGCAGAGGTTTCAGTCGGGTCACTCTAATCGCCCCTTCCAGGCCTCTCTCCAGAAATCGCAGGGTGATCAGCACCACCATATTAGTTTTAGTGCCGGTCCTAGTCGAGGCCGAGGTAGTTCACACATGGGTTCTTCTGGCCAGGGTAGCCGATCTCCAGCTCTCAGTCGACAGTCCCAGGGGTGCTATAAGTGTGGGGAGTTAGATCATTAGGCCCGCGAGTGTCCCCATCGCACGTTAGCCTTACCCGCTCCACAGGTAGCTAGGCATGCGCCAGCGCCAGCACCTCCAGCTAGAGGGGGACGCCAGAGACAGGACAGTAAATGTGGTCACCAGGGTATACGGGGTGGTCCCCGAGGAGGCAGGTTAGGGGGCAGAGCCGATGCACAGGGTAGGGGAGCCCAGACCCACTTTTATGCAGCTCCAGCTAGAGCAGATGCTGAGACCTCAAATGAAGTGATCACCGGTACAGTGTTATTATGTCATCAGCCCGCATTCGCCTTATTTGATCCAAGCTCTACTTATTCTTATATATCTATTTATTGTGCTCTTCGATTGAGTATGAGCCAGAGCTTTAGTAATGGATCAGTCATTTAGATCATGTGTGGTGACTATTCAGAGGCGAGACACTAGGGTTGATCTCATTTTGCTTAACATGGTGGATTTTGATTTGATTTTGGGTATGGATTGGATATCCCCCCACCGTGCGGTCTTGGATTGCTATGCCAAGACCGTTACTTTTGCCATGCTTGGTATTCCACCAGTGGTGTGGCACGGCTCTTGTAGTCGCACGCCAGTTGGAGTGATATCTTTTGTTCGTTCCCAGAGGTTGATGGCTAGTGGGTGTTTGGCATATTTAGCCTATGTTAGAGATGTTAGTAGGGAGGGTCCAACCGTTGATAAAGTACCTATTTTTCGAGAGTTTACAGATGTGTTTCCTGCCGATCTACCAGGTCTCCCTCCTATCGTGACATTGACTTTTCTATTGAAGTAGAGCCGGGCACTAAGCCCATTTCTAGACCACCGTACCGTATGTCCCCCGTAGAGATCAACGAGTTTAGTGTTCAGATTCAGTATCTTGTAGATAAGGGATTCATTCGGCTAAGTATATCACCTTGGGGTGCCCAATCCTCTTCGTGAAGAAGAAGGACGGTACTATGCGATTGCGGATCGACTACAGACAGTTGAACAAGGTGACGGTGAAGAACCGTTACCCCATGCCGAGGATTGATGATCTATTTGACGAACTTCAGGGTGCCGTGGTATTTTCTAAGAATGATTTAAGATCCGGCTACCACCAGTTGAGGATTGGGGCAGCACACGTCCCTAAAACTGCATTTAGGACTCGTTACGGCCACTTTGAGTTCCCAGTGAAGTCTTTTGGGTTGACTAACGCCCTTGCCGCGTTCATGTACTTGATGACTAGGATGTTTAGGCTGTACTTGGATTCGTTTGTTATAGTCTTCATAGATGATATTATAGTATACTCGCGGAGCCGAGAGGGGCATGAGCAGCATTTGAGGATAGTGCTCAAGACTTTGAGAGGCCAGCGAATTTATGCCAAGTTCTCAAAGTGCGAGTTTTGGCTTAAGTCCGTAGCATTTTTGGGGCTCGTGGTTTCTAAGGAAGGCATTATGGTAGATCCCGCTAAGATTGAGGCCATTCGTGATTAGGCAAGTCCCACCTCTGTGACTGAGATTCATAGCTTCGTCGTATTGGCAGGCTATTACAGGCGTTTTGTTGAGGGATTTTCTACTATAGCAGCGCCTTTGACTCGGTTGACTAGCCAGGATGTTCCGTTTGTGTGGTCGGAGGAATGTCAGAGGAGCTTTCTGAGGCTTAAGGTGTTACTTAACACCGCTCCTATATTGACTCTTCCAGTTGAGGGCTAGGAGTTTACTGTTTATTGTGACGATTCGGCATTGGTTTAGATTGTGTATTGATGCAGCTGGGCCGCGTTATTGATTATTCGTCGAGGCAGCTTAAGTCGCACGAGCGCAACTACCCCACTCATGACTTAGTTTGCGCCGGTAGTTTTTGCACTTAAGATTTGGAGGCATTACCTATATAGAGTTCGATGAGAGATCTATACTTATCACAGGAGCCTTCAGTACATTATAAGCCAGAGGGATCTTAATTCGAGACAGCGCCGTTGGATTGAGCTCCTGAGTACTATGACCTCTCTATTCTCTACCATCCGGGCAAGGCGAATGTAGTAGCGGACGCCTTGAGTGGAAGGCAGTAGTATCAGTAGTCTAGCCTTTCTTTCTACAACAGAGCGACCCTTAGCTTTGGACATCCAGTCCTTAGCTAACCGGATGATACTGCTTGATATCTCTGATTCCCGGTGTGTACTAGCTTTTGTGGATACTCAGTCATCTCTGCTGGATCGGATTCGCAGCCGTCAGTTTGAGGATGAGGACTTAGTGGCACTTCGAGATCAGTTTTGGGAGGTGACACTGGCTTGGCTACCTTAGATTTAGATGGGGTTTTATGATTTGGTGATCGATTTTGTATTCCAAGAGTTGGGGGTTTGATTCAGATGATTCTTACCGAGGCCCATGATCCAAATATTCTATTCATCCGGGCACAGCTAAGATGTATCGGGACTTGAGACAGCACTACTGGTGGAGCGGCATGAGGAGAGATATTGTGAATTATGTATCGCGTTGCTTGAGTTGTCAGCAGGTTAAGGCCAAGCATTTGAGGCCTAGTGGCGAGCTTCAGAGATTACCCATTTCTGAGTGGAAATGGGAGAGGATCACCGTGGACTTCGTTGTAAGATTACCCCGCACTTCCCGTGGTAGTGATAGTATCTTGGTCATCGTGGATCGATTGACCAATTCAGCTCACTTCATTCATGTCCATACTTCGTACAGTGCTGAGAGGTTAGCCCGTATCTACACTCGAGAGGTGGTTCTTCTTCATGGTGTTCCTGTTTCTCTCATCTCATACCGGGACCACCAGTTCACATCTAGCTTCTGGAGGCCCTTCCAGGATGAGTTGGGTACCCCTGTTGACCTAAGCACAGCTTTCCACCCGCAGACTGATGGTCAGTCAGAGCGCATGATTCAAGCTCTTGAGGACATGTTGCGGGCTTGTGTTATAGATTTTGTGGGTTAGTGGGACCAGTATTAGCCTTTGGCAGAGTTTGCGTACAACAACAGCTACCCCTCGAGTATTCAGATGGGCCCATTCGAGGACTTATATGGTAGGCGTTGTCGCTCTCCAGTTGGTTGGTTTGAGTCTACAGAGCCCAGGCCGCGCGGTACAGACTTGATGCGAGAGGCTTTAGATCATGTGAGGGTGATTCAGGATAGGCTCAGGATAACCAAGAGTAGACATCAGAGTTATGTAGACCGTAGGCGTCGACCGTTGAAATTTGTTGTTGGTGATAAGTATTCCTCCGTGTGTCGCCCATGAAGGTGTAATGAGATTTGGGAGGCGGGGCAAGCTTAGCCCTAGGTATATAGGTCCTTTTGAGATATTGAGGACAGTTGGGGAGGTCGCATATAAGTTAGCTTTGCCCCCGGCCTTTTCAGCTATTCACCCAGTTTTTCATGTTTCGATGTTGCGCCGGTGTGTTCCAGATGAGTCCCATGTGATTCAGTATGATGCAGTTGACTTGGATGACAGTTTGAGATACATTGAGGAGCCAGTTGCTATTTGGTCAGAGATGTCAGACGGTTGCGTTCCAGAGCCATTCCTGTGGTTAAGGTCCATTGGAGACATCGTCCAGTTGAGGAGGCTACCTAGGAGACCGAGCATGAGATGTGGGCGCAGTTCCCCGGCTTATTTGAGCCTTCAGGTACTTCTTGACTCTTACTTTCGCGACGAAAGTTCTTTTAGTAGTGGATATTGTAATGACCCCCAAGTCATTTTTAAATTAAAGCATTCATTCCATCGTTTAAAGCGTTCCTGTAGTGACCCCATGTCATTTATGACTTGCTGGCACTGACTGTTCGGTCGCCTGGTCATTCGTTTGGGTTTTATACCTGTTTCCCTGTTTTGAGATTTTATAACTTTAAAAGTTGACTTCGATCATAAATTCAGGTAAAAGACCTCAGAATAAACTTCTGACGATTCCATCAGCTCGGATGGCAAATTTGGCTAGTAGCATGGTCAACACGAGTATCAAGGCAATCGGTACGAGTTTAGGGCCATTTGACGTTTTTGCCCTTGTAATTGGCCTATAGTTGACTTTGGTCAACCTTCTTGGAAGACGTGCTCAGATGGAAATTCTAATAGCTAGGTTGCTTCAGAATATCTATTTTGGTCTAGAACGACCCTTTGTTCACTTCCCGAGGCTTTAGATTCCCGTTGTAGATCTGGCTCAAAATATACTGGGTGTGAGACCCACTTTTCATCGAAAGATCTCCAATGGAAATTCCGATTCATCGTTGAGTCGAAATATCATTTCCAATCAGATTCATATAGGTTTGTGTTTTTCTGACTCCGAACGAGTTCGGAACATCGAAATATAATTTGAAGAGTTGTTGATTCTAACGCTTGGTGACGTGGCAGGAGTGGTGTTGAAATTTGGAAATTTCCATATTTAAGGACAATTTTCATCCTTTTTTTTTCCTCATCTTCACACATAGATATCTCCTCCATTTTAAGCTCAAATTAGGTGATTCAAAAGGCTAATTTCAAGAGAATTTCATGGGGAATCTAAGGTGTGCTCAGAAACGTGAGGGGAGGCTTCGTTTGAGGTAAGGAATCGAATTTAGCTACTGCTAGAGTGTTTTCGGAATGAATTTTTGTTGAACTTTAAAGGTTAGATCTTGATCATCTAAGGTCCGTTTTGAGTCATTCTTGAGGCTAACTTGTAGAGTTTTTTCACAAGGATCGTCGTGGTATAATCTGTTTGGGTTGGAAGGGTCTCGTTTTTTCCAGAATTTGTGATCAAGGGGCTGCCAAGTCGTCAGTCAAGACTTATTAATGATTTTAATTGTTGGGGCTGATTTGCTATGTTTAGACATCTTTTGTGCTAAATTTTGGGGTATTAGTTTAGTAAGGTATTTGGGAGTTTTCACGTTACGTTTTTGGGATTCCAATTGTGTCCCACAATCCTTTTTAGACCCAATTTTGGGCTCCGTCGCGAGGCCAAGGGGCAGCGGAAGAGAGCTAGACAGGAGGATAGCCATGATAGGCTCGTTTAGACCCGAGAGTCTTATGATAGATTCAACAGATGTTTTCAGTAGGGTCAGTCTAGTCCCCCTTCCAGTCCTCTCTCCAGACATCTTAGGGTGATCAGCATCCTATATTGGTTTTAGTGCCGGTCCTAGTCGGGGCCGAGGTAGGTTCACAGATGGGTTCTTCTGCCGGGGTAGCCGACCTCCAGCTCTCACGACAGTTCCAGGGTGCTGTGAGTGTGGGGAGTTAGATATTGGCCCGCGATGTCCCCATGCACGTTAGCTTACCCGTCCACAGGCAGCTAGCATGCGCCAGCGCCATCACTTCCAGCTAGAGGCGAGGCCAGGACAGGACGGAGGGTGGTCACCAGGGTATACGGGGTGGTCTCCGAGGAGGCAGGTTAGGGGCAGAGCGATGCATAGGGTAGGGGAGCCCTGGTCCACTTTATGCAGCTCAGCTAGAAAAGATGCTTAGACCTCGGACGATGTGATCACAGGTACAGTGTTATATTCCATCAGCCGCATTCACCTTATTTCATCAAGGCTCTACTTATTCTTATATATCTGTTTATTGTGTTCCTCGATTGAGTATGATCAGAGCTATTGGTTGAGCCGTTGCGTGTTTCGACCCCGGTAGGTGATTCTTTAGTAATGGATCAGGTATTTAGATCTTGTGTGGTGACTATTCAGAGGCGAGACACTAGGGTTGATCTCATTTTGCTAGAAATGGTGGATTTTGATTTGATTTTGGGTATGGATTGGATATCCCCCCACCGTGCGGTCATGGATTGCTATGCCAGACCTTTACTTTTGCCATGCCTGGTATTCCACCAGTGGTGTGGCGGGCTATTGTAGTCGCACGCCAGTTGGGGTGATATCTTTTGTTCAGGCCCGAAGGTTGATGGCTAGAGGGTGTTTGGCTTATTTAGCTTCTGTTAGAGATGTTAGTAGAGTGGGTCGTACCTATTGTTTGAGAGTTTACAGATGTGTTTCCTGCCGATCTGCCTGGTCTCCCTCTTGATCGTGACATTGACTTTTCTATTGAAGTAGAGCCGTAGAGCTCAAGCAGCTTAGTGATCATATTCAGGATCTCTTAGATAAGGGATTCATCCGGCTTAGTGTATCACCTTGGGGTGCCCAGTCCTCTTCGTGAAAAAGAAGGACGATACTATGCGATTGTGGATCAACTACAAGCATTTGAACAATGTGACGATGAAGAACTGTTACCCTATGCCTATGATTGATAATCTATTTGACGAACTTCAGGGTGCCGTGGTATTTTCTAAGATTGATTTAAGATCCGGCTACCACCAGTTGAGGATTACGGTAGCAGACGTCCCTAAAACTGCATTTAGGACTCGTTACGGCCACTATGTGTTCCTAGTGATGTCTTTTGGGTTAACTAATGCCCCTGCCACGTTCATGGACTTGATGAGTAGGGTGTTTAGGCCGTACATGGATTCGTTTGTCATTGTCTTCATAGATGACATTCTAGTATACTCGTGGACCCGGGAGGAGCATGAGCAGCATTAGACCAAGTCAGCACACTTTATTCCTGTCCATACTTCCTACAGTGCTGAGAGGTTAGCCTGTATCTACATTTGAGATGTGGTTCGTCTTCATGGTGTGCTTGTTTCCATCATCTCAGACTGGGGCCCACAGTTCACATCTAGCTTCTAGAGGACCTTCCGGGATGAGTTGGGTACCCAGGTTAACCTTAGCACATCTTTCCACCCGCAGACTGATGGTCAGTCGGAGCGCACGATTCAGGTTCTTGAGGACATGTTACGAGATTGTGTTATGGATTTTGGAGGTCAGTGGGACCAATATTTGCCTTTGACAGAGTTTGCGTACAAGAACAGCTACCACTCGAGAATTCAGATGGCCCCATTCGAGGACTTATATGGTAGGCGTTGTCGCTCTCCAGTTGGTTGGTTTGAGTCTACAGAGCCCAGGCCGCGCGGTACAAACTTGATGCGAGAGGCTTTAGATCATGTGAGCGTGATTCAGGATAGGCTCAGGACAACCCAGAGTACACATCAGAGTTATGCAGACCGTAGGCGTCGACTGTTGAAATTTGCTATTGGTGATAAAGTATTCCTCTGTGTGTCGCCCATGAAGGTGTAATGAGATTTGGGAGGTGGGGCAAGTTTAGCCCCAGGTATATAGGTCATTTTGAGATATTGAGGACGGTTGGGGAGGTCGCATATGAGTTAGCTTTGCTACCGGCCTTTTTAGCTATTCACCTAGTTTTTCATATTTCGATGTTGCGTCGGTTTTTTCCATATGAGTCCCATGTGATTCAGTATGATGCAGTGGACTTAGATGACAGTTGAGATACATTGAGGAGCCAGTTACTATTTTGGTCAGAGATGTCAGACGGTTGCGTTCCAGAGCCATTCCTGTGGTTAAGGTCCATTGGAGAGATTGTCTAGTTGAGGAGGCTACCTGGGAGACCGAGCATGAGATGCGGGTGCAGTTCCCCGGCTTATTTGAGCCTTCAGGTACTTCTTGACTCTTACTTTCGCGGACGAAAGTTCTTTTAGTAGGAAATATTATAATGACCCTCCAAAACATTTTTAAATTAAAGCATTCATTCTATCGTTTAGAGTGTTCCTGTAGTGACCCCAAGTCATTTATGACTCGCTGGCACTAACTGTTCGGTCGGCTGGTCATTCGTTTGGGTTCTATACCCGTTTCCTTGTTTTGAAGATTTTATATCTTGAAAAGTCGACTTCGATCATAAATTCAGGTAAAAGACCTCAGAATAAAATTCTGACGATTCCATAATCTCTAGAATGGCCAAATTTGGCTAGTAACATGGTCAACATGAGAATCGAGGCAATCATACGAGTTTATGGCCATTTGACGTTTTTACCCTTGCAAATTGACCTATAGTTGACTTTGGTCAACTTTCTTGGAAGACGTGCTCAGATGATAATTCTGACAGCTAGGTTATCTTCGGAATATCTATTTTGGTCTAGAACGACCCTTTGTTTTCTTTCCGAGGCTTTAGATGCCCGTTGTGGAATTTGGCTCAAAACGATACTGGGTGTGGGACCCACTTTTCATCGAAATGACCTCCAATGGAAATTTCGACTACACTATTGAGTCTGAAATATCATTTCCAATCAATTCTATATATGGTTTGTGTTTTTCCGACTCCGAACGAGTTCGGCACATCGAAATTTAAATTTGAAGAGTTGTTGAATTCTATCGCGGTGGTGACGTTGCAGAGCCACGCGACGCCACGTGGCAGCGTGTTGTAATCTTGAAATTTCCAGATTTAAGGACAATTTTCGTCCATTTTTTTTCCTCTTGTTCAAACATAGATATGTCCTCCATTTTAAGTTCAAATTAGGTGATTCAGAAGGCTAATTTCAAGAGAATTTCGTGGGAAATTTAGAGGTGAGCTCAGAAATCGAGGGGAGGCTTCGTTTGAGGTAAGGAATCGAATTTACCTACTGCTAGAGTGCTTTTCGGAATGAATTTTTGTTGAACTTTGAAAGGTTAGATTTGATCATCTAGGTCCATTTTGAGTCATTCTTAGGGCTAACTTGTAGAGTTTTTCGCAAGGATCGTCGTGGTATAATCTGTTTGGGTTGGAAGGGTCTCGTTTTTCCAGAAGTTTGTGATCAAGGGGCTGCCAAGTCGTCAGTCAAGACTTATTAATGATTTTAATTGTTGGGGCTGATTTGCTATGTTTTAGGCATATTTAGTGCTAAATTTTGGGGTATTACTTTAATAAGGTTTTTGGGACGTTTTCACGGATTCGTTTTTGGGATTCCAATTGTGGGTCTGACGTTGTTACAGATGGTCAGCCCTTGTAGACTGATATAGCAGACTTGAGTCTGATAGTCTGAGCCTTAGCTAGGCAGTAACTCAGCTTATGATCTTGTATCCATAATGTCATGCTTTTCAATCGGCTATAGATTCCCGGTTAGAGTCCGTGGTCCAGCTTACCTGTGATCTAATTTTAGCTACAGTACCCGGTTCGAGTCTGTGGTCCAGCCCAACCATGCCCGACCTTGGGCTACAGTACCCGGTTTGAGTTCGTGGTCCAGCCTATATAGGTTGACTCATTAGCTATAGTACCCGGTTCAAGTCTGTGGTCCAGCTTGCACGTGTTGCATTCCCAATTCCTTATTGAAGCTTCAGTTTAGTCTTGATTACTCTGATCTGTAGGTTGACGTTTTGGAGGTTGGATATGTTCCGATTAAAGTCCGGGACATAACGATAACTTGGAATATAATTGGGAATGGTTTAGTTAAAGTCCAGAAATCGGTAATATTGTGATAGACCTTCTAGCTCCATTCTTTTACTTCAACTGCCAGTGCATCTTCCGGACTTATAGGGGTCCGTGCAGGTGGTTTCTTTTATTGTGCACGAGCGTACCCGTCGAGTTTATGGGAGCCCGACGGAGTTAGTTAGATTCCTTGTCTTTGTTGCCCGTACACTCGTGTACATACCCACATTTACTACTCTTTTGCCCTTGATTGTGACCCTTTATTCGCATTTCAGTTCACTTTTGCTTATCTTGCTCAGTCGGCCTGATGCCTACTGGGTACCTATTGTTTTGGTACTCATACTACACTCTGCATCTATTTTCGTGATGCAGGTCCGAATACTAGCTACCGACGTTGATTCGAGCTAGCTGTTGTCGTGATCGGAGGCACGGGTGAGCACACAACGTCCTGGATTTGCCCGTCTCCCTCTGTACTTACTTTTGAGTGTCTTTTGCCTTTTTAGATAACTTGTTTCTGTAGTCCACTTTTAGGACTTGTACTTTTGTTAGCAGCTCTGTACTTGTGACTTCAAGGTTTTGGGAGGAATTCATTTTGTGTAAATATGTCTAGTCGCTTCCGCCCGTTCATTGCGTGTTATTGTTATATTTATTACTATTTTAAGTTGCTTGGTTGGTTTTCTATGCTAACATCCCATTACTTCAAGTTCCGGGATATGGGTCGGCTTGCCTACTGGTGGGTCATATAGTAGGTGTCATCATGACCTGAGAAATTGGTATCAGAGCCCCAGGTTCGTCGGTCTCACTTGTACAGAGCTAACGTCTAGTAGAGTCCTACAGATCGTTATGGACACGTCCGTTACCTATCTTCGGGAGGCTACAAGATGTCTTTAGGAACGAGTCGTTTTTGTATCGCTGTCGTGCATTGTGTGTCTTATCGATTTCTGAAAATCTTACTTGTTCCACTCTTTTACAGGGATGGTTCGCACGCGTGGTAGGGCCCCAGCTAAGGGTAGAAGCCGACCTCAAGGTCGTGCCAGAGCTACAGCACCAGCCCAGGACCGAGAGAAAACTCCAGAGCCGATGATAGAGATACCATCAGCTCCAGCACAGCAGCAACCGATAGGCCTGGGACCAGCCCAGCCACAGCCCGAGCCTGTGGCAGCTCCAGGTATATAGGCGATGCTCATACAGATACTAGCTGCCATTGGGGGTATGCAGCAGGCCACAACTTCAGCCGCTCCAGTACCGCAGGGCCAGCCTGTACAAGCGGCACCGGTTGTTCAGCAGCTAGCGGCACCAGTTGTTCAGCATGACAATTTGGAGAGCGTCATGCCACTTCAGGAACAGAAGATGCTCGGGGTGTTCCTTAGACTATCACCGCTGACGTTTTCTGGGACTGTGGGTGAGGATGCCCACGAGTTTATACTTACTTGCCGCGAGTGGCTACAGACTTTGGGTTTAGTGGAGTGGAGATGAGCAGACTTCACCGCTTACCAACTAGACGGTCCCACTAGGCAGTGGTGGCGTACATATTTAGAGACCATGCCAGCTGGGTCTCTACCGGTTAGAAAAGGCTCCATGACAGTATCAGAGTATGAGGCCCGATTCCACGAGCTCTCTAGGCATGCCTCCATGATATTACCTACTGAGGAGGAGAGGGTTCATGTTTTTGTTCGGGGTTTGAGACTACAGTTGCGGATTGAGACTCAGTCTTTGGTTTCAGCGGGCCGCTCATTTCTGGATGTAGTGGACCATGTCCGCACTATTGAGCAGCTCCGTTGCGAGGCCCAAGGGGGCAGCGGCAAGAGAGCTAGACAGGAGGATAGCCATGATAAGCGCCATTTCAGACCCCGAGAGTCTTATGATAGATCTCAGCAGAGCTTTCAGTCGGGTCATTCTAATCGCCCCTTCCAGGCCTCTCTCCAGAAAACGCAGGGTGATCAGCACCACCATATTGGTTTTAGTGTCGGTCCTAGTCGAGGCCGAGGTAGTTCACACATGGGTTCTTCTGGCCAGGGTAGTCGATCTCCAGCTCTCAGTCGACAGTCCTAGGGGTGCTATGAGTGTGGGGAGTTAGATCATTGGGCCCGCGAGTGTCCCCATCGCACGTTAGCCTTACCAGCTCCACAGGCAGCTAGGCATGCGCCAGCACCAGCAGCTCCAGCTAGAGGCGGAGGCCAGGGACAGGACCGCAGGAGTGGTCACCAGGGTATACGGGGTGGTCCCCGAGGAAGCAGGTTAGGGGGCAGAGCCGATGCACAGGGTAGGGGAGCCAAGGCCACTTTTATGCAACTCCAGTTAAAGCAGATGCTGAGACCTCGGACGCTGTGATCACATGTACAGTGTTATTATGCCATCAGCCTGCATCCGTCATATTTGATCCAGGCTCTACTTATTCTTATATATCTGTTTATTGTGCTCCTCGATTGAGTATGAGCCAAAGTTATTGGTTGAGTCGTTGCGTGTTTCGACCCCGGTAGGTGATTCTTTAGTAGTGGATCAGGTATTTAGTTCTTGTGTCGTGACTATTTAGGGGAGAGACACTAGGGTTGATCTCATTTTGCTTGACATGGTGGATTTTGATTTGATTTTAGGTATGGATTGGTTATCCCCCCACCGTGCTGTCTTGGATTGCTATACCAAGACCGTTACTTTAGCTATGCCTGGTATTCCACCAGTGGTGTGGCGGGGCTCTTGTAGTCGCATGCCAGTTGGGGTGATATCTTTTGTTCGGTCCCAAAGGTTGATGGCTAGCGGGTGTTTGGCTTATTTAGCTTATGTTAGAGATGTTAGTAGAGAGGGTCCTACTGTTGATTCAGTACCAATTGTTCAAGAGTTTACAGATGTGTTTCCTGCTGATCTGCCTGGTCTCCCTTTAGATCATGACATTGACTTTTCAATTGAAGTAGAGTCGGGCACTAAGCCCTTTTCTATACCACTGTACCGTATGGCCCCCGTAGAGCTCAAGGAGCTCGGTGTTCAGATTCAGGATCTCTTAGATAAGGGATTCATTCGGCCTAGTGTATCACCTTTGGGTGCCCAGTCCTCTTCGTGAAGAAGAAAGATGGTACTATGCGATTGTGCATCGACTACAGGCAGTTAAACAAGGTGACGGTGAAGAACCGTTACCCCATGCCTAGGATTGATTATCTATTTGACGACCTTCAGGGTGCCGTGGTATTTTCTAAGATTGATTTAAGATCCGGCTACCACCAGTTGAGGATAAGGGCAGCAGACGTCCCTAAAACTATATTTAGGACTCGTTACGGCCACTATGATTTCCTAGTGATGTCTTTTGGGTTGACTAACGCCCTGCCGCGTTCACGGACCTGATGAGTAGGGTGTTTAGGCCGTACATGGATTCGTTTGTCATAGTCTTCATAGATGACATTCTAGTATACTCGCGGAGCCGAGAGGAGAATGAGCAGCATTTGAGGATAGTGCTCCAGACTTTGAGAGGTCAGCAACTTTATACCAAGTTCTCAAAGTGTGAGTTTTGGCTTGAGTCCGTAACATTTTTGGGGCACGTGGTGTCTAACGAAGGCACTATGGTAGATTCCGCTAAGATTGAGGCCATTCGTGATTGGGCCAGGGCCACCTCTGTGACTGAGATTCATAGCTTCGTCGGATTGGCAGGCTACTACAGGCGTTTTCTACTATAGCAGCGCCTTTGACTCGGTTGACTCGCCAGGATGTTCCGTTTGTGTGGTCGGAGGAGTGTGAAAGGAGCTTTCTGAGGCTTAAGGAGTTACTTACCACCGCTCATATGTTGACTCTTCCAGTTGATGGCGAGGAGTTTACTGTTTATTGTGACGCATCCAGCATTGGTTTGGAATGTGCGGTGATGCAACAGGGCTGCGTTATTGCTTATGCATCGAGGCAGCTTCAGCCGCACGAGCGCAACTACCCCACTTCTGACTTAGAGTTGGCGGCGGTAGTTTTTGCACTTAATATTTAGAGGCATTACCTGTATAGAGTTTGATGCTAGATCTATTCATATCACAGGAGCCTTCAGTACATTATGAGCCAGAGGGATCTTAATTTGAGACAACTCCGTTGGATTGAGCTCCTAAAGGACTATGACCTCTCTATTCTCTACCATCCAGGCAAGGCAAAAGTAGTAGCGGACATCTTGAGTCGGAAGGCAGTGAGTATGGGTAGGCTAGCCTTTCTTTCTACTACAGAGCAACCATTAGCTTTGGACATCCAGTCCTTAGCTGACAAGATGATACGGCTTCATATCTCTGATTCCCGATGTGTACTATCTTATGTGGATGCTCAGTCATCTCTGCTTGATTGGATTCGCAGCCGTCAGTTTAAGTATGAGGACTTAGTGGCACTTCGAGATCGAGTTTTGGGAGGTGACACTAGCCTGACTACCTTAGATTTAGATGGGCTATTAAGATTTGGTGATCGACTTTGTGTTCGAAGAGTTGGGGGTTTGATTTAGATGATTCTTACCGAGGCCCATGACTCCAAATATTCTATTCATCCGGGCACAACTAAGATGTATCGGGAATTGATACAGCACTACTGGTGGAGCAGCATGAGGATAGATATTGCGAATTATGTATTGCGTTGCTTGAGTTGTCAGCAGGTTAAGGCCGAGCATTTGAGGCCTGGTGGCGAGCTTCAGAGATTACATATTCTTGAGTGGAAGTGGGAGAGGATCACCATGGACTTCGTTGTAACATTACCCTGCACTTCCCGTGGTCGTGATAGTATTTGGGTCATCGTGGATGGATTGACCAAGTCAACACACTTCATTCCTGTCCATACTTCCTACAGTGCTGAGAGGTTAGCCCGTATCTACATTCGAGAGGTGGTTCATCTTCATGGTGAGCCTGTTTCCATGATCTCAGACCGGGGGCCACAGTTCACATCTAGCTTCTGGAGGACCTTCCAGGATGAGTTTGGTACCCGTGTTCACCTTAGCACAGCTTTCCACCTGCAGACTGATGGTTAGTCGGAGCGCACGATTCAAGTTCTTGAGGACTTGTTGCGGGCTTGTGTTATGGATTTTATGGGTCAGTGGGACCAGTATTTGACTTTGGCAGAGTTTGCGTACAACAAGAGCTACCATCAGAGTATTAAGATGGCCCCATTCGAGGCCTGATATGGTAGGCGTTGTCGCTCTCCAGTTGGTTGGTTTGAGTCTACAGAGCCCAGGCCGCGCGGTACAGACTTGATGCGAGAGGCTTTAGATCATGTAAGCGTGATTCAGGATAGGCTCAGGACAACCCACAGTAGACATCAGAGTTATGCAGACCGTAGGCGTCGACCGTTGAAATTTGTTGTTGGTGATAAAGTATTCCTCTGTGTGTCGCCCATGAAGGGTGTAATGAGATTTGGGTGGCGGGGCAAGCTTAGCCCCAGGTGTGTAGGTCATTTTGAGATATTGAGGACGGTTGGGGAGGTCGCATATGAGTTAGCTTTGCTACCGGCCTTTTAGCTATTCACCCAGTTTTTCATATTTCGATGTTGCGTCGGTATGTTCCAGATGAGTCCCATCTGATTCAGTATGATGCAGTGGACTTGGATGACAATTTGAGATAAATTGAGGAGCCAGTTACTATTTTGGTCAGAGATGTCAGACGGTTGCGTTCCAGAGCCATTCCTGTGGTTAAGGTCCATTGGAGAGATCGTCCAATTGAGGAGGCTACTTGGCAGACCGAGGATGAGATGCGGGCGCAGTTCCCCGGCTTATTTGAGCCTTCAGGTACTTTTTGACTCTTACTTTCGCGGATGAAAGTTCATTTAGTAAGAGATATTGTAATGACCCTCCAGGACATTTTTAAATTAAAGCATACATTCTATCGTTTAGAGTGTTCCTGTAGCGACCCCAAGTCATTTATGACTTGCTGGAACTAACTGTTCGGTCGCCTGGTCATTCACTTGGGTTTCATACCCGTTTCCTTGTTTTGGAGATTTTATATCTTGAAAAGTTGACTTCGATCATAAATTCAGGTAAAAGACTTCAGAATAAAATTCTGACGATTCCATCAACTCTAGAATGGCCAAATTTGGCTAGTAGCATGGTCAACAGGAGTATCGCGGCAATCGGTACGAGTTTATGGCCATTTGACATTTTTACCCTCGCAATTTGACCTATAGTTGACTTTAGTCAACTTTTTTGGAAGACGTGCTCAGATGATAATTCTGACAGCTAGGTTAGC